TAAACGAACTCATTTGAAAAATATAAAATAAATAAACAAAATCAAAGGAGTTACGGGGGAAACAGACAATTTCCAAACGAGGACCATCGAAGGGGAGCTGGGATTCGGCCAGTCCGGGAGGGCAGCCGGCTCCTGGCCCGCCGGCTTCCAGAGGACGGGCGAAGACCGGGAAGCACAGGTTTCTCCTTCACAGTCATCCCCGTCTCCAACCCAGCCCGGGCCATCCTGGGGACAGATGTCACCCAAAGCGGCCACGGCAAAGACAGGCCCAGTGAGTGAAGGTGGGGAGGCTTCTAAGACGGGCCTGGGTTTGGCGCTTACAGAAAATAAACTGAGGCTTTGAAGAGCCTAAACAAAGGCACCATCTGTCCTCTCTAGAAGCGACAACGTCAGGTCAATCACAGGGAAGGATGCAAAGGAGGGCGCCAAGCTGGAGACACACGAGGGTCGGCTGGGTCTCGCCTCGGACCCTCGGCAGGATCCGAGCTCTGGAAGCCAGTGGGTCAGAAAGATGCTTTCAATGCGTCCAAAAGATGTAGGCTCTAGGGTTTTGTGTTTAAAAAAAAAAAACAAAAAAAAAAAAACAGAATAAAACATACTAATTTTTTTCCTTTTCAGCTGCTTTAATTTATGCTGTATGCTACAAGCAAGGGGCAGAGGGCAGGTTGGTGGGGGGGAGGGGGGACAATGTTCTAAACAGATGCATTTTTTAAAATGCACTCAGATTATCTTCACCCCCTTTCTGCGATCATTCCTGTGACTTCGTGATGCCGAATTTTCTTTTCTTCTCTGTTGAAGAGTTTCCCTGGGTCCCTCACACTGGGACACATGGTTGGCATTAAAATGCTTGTGCCGACTTCCCGCCCTTTAACATTCCCTGGCTGGCTGGGTTTTAATCCCGCAGCCCTTCTTTGCAAAGGGTGTTTCCGCTGGAGATAGGTATTTATCATTCTTCTCCTGGCCCGCCTGCCTCCCTCCTTCACAGACCCCGCACGACTTGAAGGGGATTCCGAACAACAGCCCAAACATCCTGAGGGCCGGTCTGCTCACCCCCACCTTGGAGCGAGGGTTTTGATCACCGGGGTCCATTTTCCTCCCATATTAGTCACTGCTGTTATCGGTCCAAGATCAACTCGGCAGGGAACTTTCTGGGGGTTGGGGGAAGATATTCAAAGTAGGCAGGGACGGGTGTTATGTTGTACAAGTTACCCAGGCTGAATCTCACCTCTTGTGTTTCTGGAAAGAAAAAGAGAATGTGGTGAAATTGCTCATTCTTTCTGCATTGCTTTTTTCCTAAGCATAAAAGTGACACAACTGTCGTTGGAGAAGATGGCATCGTGGGACTTGGTGGTTCTTACTGGCACCACCCTGGGGGCAACCTTCCACGAAGCAATCTTATACACTGTTCACTGGAGTCCCAACACTGGGCGGCACCAGGTGCCCTTCCAAAGACCTGCCTCTTCTTTGTAAACCTAGCAGCACCCCAAGAGGGAGGGACACCACCTTAGCGAGTCCCCAGACCAGCAAACCAGGAATGTTCGGTCAGTAGACACCTTCCACTGACTTCCATAAAGAAATAGAAAGACCAAGATTGTCCTATAGAAAGTTCCTTTAAAAGATAAATTTCAGCCCTGGCCAGTTAGGCTCAGCAGTTAGAGTGTCAGCCTGCGGATCAGAGAGGCCCAAGTTCGGTTCCCACTAAGGGCACACACCTTGGTTGCAGTTTGGGGGGGGGGGGGTGTTGTGTGGGTGGAGCGGTGTTTTTTTCTCCCTCCTGCTCTCTCTCAAGATGAATGCAAAAATGTCCTTGGGTGAGGATAAAAATAAAATAAATAAATTTCAACAGCTATCTCTGGGTGATCAAGGTTAGAAACTCTTTTAGGTTTTTTTTTTTTTTTTATTCCTTTATTCTTCTATTTGCAATTTTGCTTTTACAGGGACTGTGGATAACTTTGGTCATCTTGAAAATTACTTGTTTTAATCACCTCGGCCATTTCTTAACTCAGCAAATGTCTATTTTAGGTCAAATGGTTCTTTACAATTAAAAAAACAAACAAACAAAAAAGACAGTGAAGTCCCTTCACTTGATTGAGATCTGACTTTCCTTTGTGAAATGAGGTGGCCGCTACTTGTTTGGGAACACAAAATACCCCAAACTGTTACTTGAAAGTAACACTCCAGGTGATGTCACCAGCCTGGTGGAGAATGAGGTTGAGTCCTGAATCCACAAGCAGTGTATCTCCTGGGGTTCACAAACCCTACACCAGGTTGACATAATTTGCTATTCAGACCTTAAGATAGGGCATATCTGCCATCCTTAGCGATTTTCAAAAACTGCTCTGAGGTCAAGCTAGACTGACCCTGGTTGCTGTTTGATGGGTCAGTGGGTTTTGGAGGGGCTCTTTTTGTTTTTTGCCCCCGTGGAGAGCAGTACTCCTGTCTCCAGCAGGGCAATGGCAAATGTGTCAGATTCCTGGGAAATCACCCTAAGAGGCCTCTTCCGGGAAGGGTCCCCTGTTGCCAGATTTCCTGGGGATATATGTAGGTGATCAGGCATCCTTCTCATCATAAAAACTTACTTCAAATATTCACACCTAGTAAGCATGCTATGTAAATTCCTTCCCCCTTTACTTCTTCAACCTGTATTGACCATTCTTTTAAGTAGAAAATAAACTTTGTTAACTAAAATGTTCCTTCACACTCTTTTCAGTGAAACCTCAAATGTGCCTCTTCCCATCACTGTCAAAATGTCTAGCTATCTACCAGCCCAATTTAAAAACATTAATAAGCAAAACCAAATACCCCTTACGTTCCTTCGTGCCTCCCCTCCCCAATAAATCCAGTGCCTTGCTTTAAAAATCGGTAATTAGAAGGTGATGGGTTTCTAACACTGGGCTAAAGTTTGCTTTGCTACGTTAGAGGTCTCCCAGCAGAGTTCTTGTTCATTCTTTCACGTTTCCCGTAAGTAGAATCAGTTCTCCGCAGGGCGATGTTCAAAAGTAGTGCTGGGTTCATTTTTACCACATCTTACGTGGTCTGAAAGGGTCTCTGGAAGCTGATTTTAAGGAGCTTTGGGATCCTTCTGCCCACTGTAACCCTGGAGCTCGGGATGCCCCTGCCCCCACCCTACCCCCAGCCCTGAGTTGGCAGGCGGACGCGGTGATCTCGGGAGCCAGTAGAGGGCACACTTACTTTACTTTCGCAAACCCGAGCGCTTGTGCAGCCCGGAGAGGGGGCGGGGGAAATACGCTTTGCAGCAAAACCGTGACCGGGGATTGGTCGCTCCCCGCGTTTGCGGCAAAGGCCTGGAGCCTGAAGCAATTTGCAATCCTTAAGGCTGAATTGTACTGAGCGCCTGATTTGGAGGAAGTTACTACTCATTTAACAATCGAACGCTGAGCTGCAAAACTCAACGGCTAATAATTTACCTTCAGCGCAAGCACACTACACACGGACCCCCCTCCGAGTTTTTTTCTGTTTTGCAGTGGGAGGGGGGTGAAAGGTGGGAAACTTCTTAAAATGCTTTTGGGCTAAGGAACAGGGATGGGAGGATGGTCTTTGTTTTTAATGCCCTAGTATAATGAAAATAGCAAATCCAGAGCGAATATGCATTTAATATTCAATATAGATCCATTCAGGCAGAGAACAAATCATATGTCGTGTTGGGCAATATTCTAGGTCGACCTGTACTTGAAATGTATATAGATGTCCGCGGGTTATACATATGAACTTTCACTATGGCATTCAGAACAAAAATTTAGGGGCACTAAACTAGGAAATTGGTGCCTGAAACTCGGCCAGTTTTTAATTGGCTCAATCCCCCGGCCCCAAAAAAGGCACGTAATACTTGGCTCCTCTCCTTTTAACGGAATCAACGCATTTTTTCGTGCATGACCATGATTCCAATAATAAAGGTAAAAGAAGACTCAGAAAGGAAGTTAAACGTCCGGTTTGTCCAAGGAGGAAAGAGTTAACGGTTTTCTTCACCAGGGTCTCTCTTGATACCCCACGCAAGGTCTGCAAGCTCGCCTCTTCCCCTCTTTTGGGGAGCTCGGTCCCGCGGCTCTCGCCACCCCTCTCCAATATTCTCCCGTCTAGCGCCTTTGATTCCCCCCAAACCTGGGAGCCCCGGACTGGTGTAAACCTGAGCCACGGGAGCAAATAGGATTTTTCTAAAACCTGGCTGAGGAATTAAGTCTGAGAGGCTCGAGGATGCTTTGGAGGGTCCAGGGGCATTCATTCTGGTGGAAGGTACCCAATGGAGATAGATATACACACATAAAGCATAACAGCCCTCCCCCCATGAGAGTGTTTATTCATAACGCTCTCTCCAAGTATACGTGGCAGAGTGTTGCGGAGTTATTTAAATAATTCCAGGCATCATTTTCCTTCCTCTCCCTCTTATCACTTATCCCCATCTACACTAATACCCCTCACACATAGTCCGCACACGTCCTTAAATACTCTTTCTTTCCTTCTCTCTTCACAGGACTTATTCCAAACGCTGTCCTTTCCCCAGCCTTAGGGAAGCGCCCGGCCGCCCGGGACGTGCATGTTGTGGCCGCGGGTACACGGTGTATTCTCGGTGTTGAGAGCTCAGCTGTTCCGCCTGCGATTATTTAAGTGCGCAAGACGAGTAAGCGGTCTGTCCAACAGAGTGCTGCGCCAGAGGCACAGCGGAGAAAGGGAGCGGGTTTGAGCTGGAGCAAAAGAAAATGGTAGGCACGCTCGGTTAATTCATGCTACGATCTAACTATTTACATCCGATTGCTCGGCGCACCGGAGTGCCAGGCTCAGCGGCTGAGTCTCCTCCCCCCGCCCCTCCTCCATACAATCGCCCCTCCCGAATTCCCAAACGGGAGGAGGGGGGAGAGAGAAAAAAGATCCTCTCCCGCGAATCCCCGCCCACCGGCCCTTTATAGGCAAGGGTCTGCGGCGCCGAGAAACCCCCCGGCTGCGCTTCTTGCGGCTGCAGCAACCACCGCGGCTCACGCGTCCCGGCTGCAGCCTTCCTCCCCCCGAAGCTCGCCTCGGGAAGGGTAGGCCTATTCTGAGGCTTGGCGGGAAAAGGACAGAGGGAGGGATCGAACCCTACCGATATAAAAGCCGGCTTATCGGACTCGCTGTAGTAATTCCAGCGAGAGGCAGAGGGAGTGAGCGGGCGGACTGAGTGAGCCAAGCCAGCCGGACGAGCCGCGGCGCTCGCTCTCCGGGGTAAGGAGATCCGGAGTGATAGGGGGCTTTGCCTCTGGCCCAGCCGCCTCCTCCCGACCCTTCCCGCCGACCCTGCCCGAGATCCGCAACCCTCGCCGCATCCACGAAACTTTGCCCATTGCAGCGGGCGGGCACTTTCCCCTGGAACTTACAACACCCGACGAGAACGCGACTCTCCAGAGGCGGAGAGGATCTTCTGCCTATTTGGGGAGACACTTCTCTCCGCGTTGCCTACGACCCGCTCCTCCGAAAGGCGATCCGTGCCCCTCTTGAGACGCTGCATTTCCTTCGGGTAGTGGGAAACCCGGTAAGCTCTCGGATCTATTTGTCTTTTAATTTATTTTTTTCTACCGCTTTATTGACGAGATGAGTCGACTACCCGAACCGGGGTGTCTTCTCTTCCATTCCTGTACTATTGACACTTTTCAGAGTAGTTGGTGGTAGGTCTGGGTGGGGTGGGGACTGAAGCAGAACCGGATCGGGTTGTCAAGATGGGAGGATGGAAAGCAGAGGGAAAACGGGGGTGCTTTTTATTTATTTTTTTTAAACAAGCCTTTCTAGATTTTTGCCGATGGTCATTGACGCAGAGCCCAGCGGGCTGGACATTTCTGCTTTATTGCATTAATTGCTTTGGGTTGGGGGGGGGGTGGCTATGCTTCGTGGTGAGCAGAAAGCCCTTTGCATCTTGAGCTCCTTGTAGTAAGGATTACATATCCTTATTATGTGATCGAGAGCTCCGCAGCCGCTGACTTTTCCTAGTCTCCGAAAGGGCATTTAAATTTCAGCTTTTTTTTTTTTTTACCGCATTTCTGACAGCCAGAGACACTGCGGCGCGTCCCGCCCGCCGATTCCCCCTGGCGTTCCCAATTCGTCCCCCACTCCGTTTCCTAAGTTGGCATTTGGCTTCTAAAAAGAATAATACAATTAAATGTCTCGGTGTGCCGAGGTGTTAGGACTTGGTGTTGGGGAGGCGCGGGGAAGCGGAGAAGGAAGGCTAGGGCAGATATGTGTTCGGTTTTCTTGGATTCATTGACTTAGGAAAAGAGGGCAAATCTCCGCACCTAGTTTGGCTCCCCCGCCGCCTCTGTGTCCCCGCGCCCCTGAGATTCGGAGGGGCCGCCAGGAGTGGGGCTCCGGGCTTCTTCAGAACAGCTGCTACCCTCGGCGGGTGAAGGGAAGGGCGCCCCGGCTCCGGGCGCAGAATCGCAGCAGGGTCTCTGGCGCAGTTGCGGTGCCGTATTGGGCGTTGAAGGGAGGCGCCCCTGTTATTCTCGAATACCCTCCTTTTATTTATTGGGGGTTGTTAAGGCCCGCAGCTGAGCTCGCCGCACCAACCGGCGAGGGAAAAGAAGAAAAGCCGGCAAAGAAGGGAGGGGGGCGCCCTGGGGGTGGGGACGGAGGAGGAGGAAAGGGAGGTTGGGAGGGGCGGAGGCGCCCGCGGGGGAAGGAGCGCCGCGAAGGCGCGAGTGGGAAGGGGGAGCATTCGCTCCCGCCTCAGCGCCTCTCGCCTTCTCCTTCAGGTGGCGCAAAACTTTTCGGGTTTGGCAGATTGTATTCCCCGCCGCCGCCTCTCCAAGCCTCTTCCCGAGTCCAAAGCTGATTCCGATTGCTCTCTGGCGGGGGGGCCGAGTCCCAGGCTTTGCGCTCCGGGCTCCCCGGGAACAAAAGTCCCGCTGGCGCTCTGCAGCTAGCTCACCAACTATGTGTCCAAGATAGGGAGTCAGCCGGAGGGGGTGAAAGCGTGCCCACTTTGCCCCCGCCCCTCCAGCCGCTTGCCCATTTTGAGAACAGTGCTGCAAGGGGAGTGGTTCGTGATTGCGGCGCGCGGTGCTCGCCGCGCGGGGATAAGATGAGGCACCAACCTAGAGCCCCCCACACCGTTAACTCAAGATCCCCCCCTTCCGTGTGCCTCCTTTAGCAGGCTGCCGCGATGCCCCTCAACGTCAGCTTCGCCAACAGGAACTATGACCTCGACTACGACTCCGTGCAGCCCTATTTCTTCTGCGATGAAGAAGAGAACTTCTACCACCAGCAGCAGCAGAGCGAGCTGCAGCCGCCGGCGCCCAGCGAAGATATCTGGAAGAAATTCGAGCTGCTGCCCACCCCGCCCCTGTCTCCGAGCCGCCGCTCGGGACTTTGCTCGCCCTCCTATGTCGCGTTCGCGTCCTTCTCACCCAGGGATGTTGACGACGGCGGTGGCGGCAGCTTTTCCACCGCAGATCAGTTGGAGATGGTGACCGAGCTGCTGGGGGGAGACATGGTGAACCAGAGCTTCATCTGCGACCCGGACGACGAGACCTTCATCAAAAACATCATCATCCAGGATTGTATGTGGAGCGGCTTCTCGGCCGCCGCCAAGCTTGTCTCCGAGAAGCTGGCCTCGTACCAGGCAGCGCGCAAAGACGGCGGCGGCCGGAGCCCCGCCCGAGGGCAAGGCGCCTGCTCCACCTCCAGCCTGTACCTGCAGGACCTGAGCGCCGCAGCCTCCGAATGCATCGACCCCTCCGTGGTCTTCCCCTACCCGCTCAACGACAGCAGTTCGCCCAAGCCCTGCGCCTCCCCCGACTCCACCGCCTTCTCCCCGTCCTCGGACTCTCTGCTCTCCTCGGCCACCTCCTCCCCAAGGGGCAGCCCCGAGCCCCTGGCACTCCACGAGGACACACCACCCACCACCAGCAGTGACTCCGGTAAGTTGCATTGCACCCCCCTGCATGCCAGACAAAGGGGACGGCAGGCTACCTTCCTTCTCATTGGCCACTAATTCAGCTGGCCACTTGAGCTGACACCGCCTTTTCTCTTTTCATATTTGCGAAAGAAATGGCAGATCTGAAAGGGTCTGGGCGCGCTCCATCATCCCAGAAACACTGGGCTTTACTGTTCCCTCCCATCCCTTCCCCTAAGACCGCCCTGGTGGCCAGCCCCTTCCTTTCCTTCCTGCCCCTGAGGAATTTCATTTGGATTTTAAATCTTGTCTGGTTTATCTTGCAATTCAATCCACTCGCTTCTTACCTTTCTTAAGCATTTTAATTGCCCTAGGGGGGAAGGGGAAGTGTGAATGACATTAAGAGGGGACTGATCTCTTTGAGAGTGAAAGAATTAGCTCCCTCATCCTTTCTGAGAAGCACTGGAATGTAAGGGGCTGCAGATCTATGAAGAGGGCTGTGGACCGAGGCAGGCAGTGTCCCGCCCAGGGCTGCGAGCTAGTGAAAGTGCCTAAGAGTGAATGAGCTGAGAAGTTGGGATCTTTCAGCCTCTTTTGAGCACTTTCCAAAATTGGACTTTCTTCCTTCCCCCACCTCCCAGGACTTTTGGCAAAGCTGCAAGGGTTTTTTTTTTTTTCTTTTCGCACTTCCAGTAAAATTGGGAGTAGCTAAAACCATATCAAGAGATTTGCAGCTCTCCTTTGCAACATGGGTTCTTGGTAAAGTCTCTTAAAATAGGAGGTGCTTGGGAATGTGCTTTGCTTTGGGTGTGTCCAAAGCCTCATTAAGTCTTAGGTAAGAATTGGCATCAATGTTGTATCCTGGTAAATTGTAATTGCCTTGCCTGTGCCATAAACCCTGCTGCCATTCTGCCGTAGTGGGGGGAAGAGCAGGGATGATTAGCTAGTTGGTGCTCTGGGAATAACTTTGTGCTAGAGTCTTTCTTCATATAATAATGCCTTATATTGTCATAGCATTAATTTAATGTAGTCATTGATTACTTGAAGGAAACGTTGCTAACCATGTGATTTCTATTTCCTTTCTTAAAGAGGAAGAACAGGAGGATGAGGAAGAAATTGATGTTGTTTCTGTGGAAAAGAGGCAGCCCCCTGCCAAAAGGTCAGAATCGGGGTCACCATCTGCCGGAAGTCACAGCAAACCTCCTCACAGCCCACTGGTCCTTAAGAGATGCCATGTGTCCACTCATCAGCACAATTACGCAGCGCCCCCCTCCACTAGGAAGGACTATCCTCCCACCAAGAGGGCTAAGTTGGACAGTGGCCGAGTCCTGAAACAGATCAGCAACAACCGCAAGTGCGCCAGCCCCAGGTCCTCCGACTCGGAGGAGAATGACAAGAGGCGGACGCACAACGTCTTGGAGCGCCAGAGGAGAAACGAGCTGAAGCGCAGCTTCTTTGCCCTGCGCGACCAGATCCCTGAGTTGGAAAACAATGAAAAGGCCCCCAAGGTAGTTATCCTTAAAAAAGCTACCGCATACATCCTGGCCATCCAAGCAGAGGAGCAGAAGCTCATTTCAGAAAAGGACTTATTGCGAAAACGACGAGAACAGTTGAAACACAAACTTGAACAGCTACGGAACTCTTCTTGTGCATAAAAGTTGACCTATTGGAGGGAGGAACTGGAATCACTCCTGACTTCACTTGTTACTAAGGGAAAGGGGAAAGGTTCCTTCCGACATAACTGCAGAATTCATGGTCAAGTGCAACCGCACAACCATGGCTGAATCTTAAGACTGAAAGGTTCAGCCATAATGTAAACTGCCTCAAAATGGACTTTTAGGCATAAAAGAACGTTTTTTATGCTTGCCATCCTTTTCTTTTTTTCCTTTAACAAATGTGTATTTAAGAATTGTTTTTTAAGAAATCTTTTTGCTGTGTAAATATAGCCATTAAATGTAAATAACTTTAATAAAACGTTTATAGCAGTTATACAAAATTGCAAGCAGTGTATATGATGACACATAATTTTTTTTATTTAAAAGTTGATTTTTTTTTATTGTTTTTAGAAAAAATAAAATACCTGGCAAATATATATAATTGAGCCAAATCTTAAGTTTGTGAGTGTTTTGTTTCTTTTCTTTCTTCTTTTCATCAATTACAAATGGACAGAATTTGGCCCTTCAGGGAGAGAGCTTACAGAGATGGGAAAATAAATGACTTAGGAAAGATGAAGGGTTTTGTTAAAATTGGTCTGGGGCTTTAAGGTGTTTAACTTAATGGGGTTATAAGATGCTTCCTGGAGATTGATAAGGGCCAGAGTTCATACTTGAAAGGATACAAGGGCAGTAAGCTGGTGGGCCAGCCAGGGGGTCAGAGACAAAGGTGTGCCAGAGACTGGAGATCACAGTAAATCAGGGGTTGGGCGTAAGGACTGGGGTTGGGGAGGAAGATGAAGAAACCCTCTTACCTTTGATGAACCCATGCCGTTCCACTGTTCCATTCAATCCCAGGGGCTCTGCCCAGGAAAAGAGTGGAAGGGGAGGAACAAGGTGCCGGGCCCTCAACATGGGTTATCTCATGAGCCCCAGAGGAACTCTGGGAGGCATGTTATTAACCTTAATTTTACAAGCAAGGAAGTAATAGAAGCTCAGAGGGGTTATGTAACTTCTCTGGCCACACAGAATAAAAGGCAGCATCCAAGTCTCATCTTTGTTGAAAAACCCTCAACCCTTCCCCTGCGCCTTAGCTCATCCAAAAGTGCTGAGATCAGAAAATGCTTTTGGTTGGTGCTGATGGACTAAGTACCAACCATACTCTACTACTTGTGTGCCAGGCACCCTTCTGAGCATTTTCCTTGTACAACTTCACTGCAACCCTGTGAAGGAGATGCTACTTTTCTCCCCAATAGAAGGGGACAGGCACAGAAAGACTCATCCGTGAGGCCAATGAAGAGCAGGACCAGCATTCAAACCCAGGGAGTCCACTCTTAAACTGTGCCAGACCGCCTCTCAGAGAGGCCAGAAGGAATCAAGAGGCCACTCGTGACAACAGGAGTCACCAATCAGTGGATTCTGTGTCTTCGGTTTCAATATTCAGGCCCTATCGGACATCAGTCCGCCCCCTCCCCCTTTTGGTAATGTTGCTGTTCATTGTTTAATTTTTCCCTTCACATTAAACAGCCCAGAACTCACATTCCCTCTGAACATTTGCTCAGAGAGATTCACCAGTTGCTCCGGGGAAGCAGCCAGTTGAGAATCAGATCATAAAATAAAATATAATTACTCTTTGTCATGTGAGTCATTATTTTGAAAACAACAGACTCCTAACCTCTTTCACACACGGACAATCATGACACATGCTCATCACTGGAACATGAAAAGGCATTTCTGAATGCAGATATTATTAATTATAAGCCTTTGAATACCCACAGCCCAAACCAGAAACCTGAACGTTGATCACGTAGGTAAATGGAAGCTACTACCGCTGTTCTAATGATCTCATTGTCTCCGCCTCAAAGGAGATGTTCAGATTCCTGTACTCTGGAATTTTAATCCACCACCACCCATTCATCAATAGGTAATTACTGTCTTTGGCTCTTACCCATATAATAATTTAATCAAACCCTTAATGTCTTTTTCTTGATCTTTTTGGGGGTTCTAAGTGCTCCCAGCTGTCACACCCTATATCCTAAATTCAAAGGGAGATAGAATCCACAGAAGTTGAGTAGTTCAAAGTGTCACGGTACTGTGGGGGCGCTCTTAAATGGTTCACTCTGCCCCTTTGTGGCAGACTGCAGCCCTGGAGTGACTCACTGGGAACCCCAGAAGGTGTTAGTTTGAATCACTGAATCTGGGCAAGCTCATGAAACACCAGAGAGTGTTCCTCCGTAGGAAAACAACTCTCCACTCCAAAGGGTCAGGAAACAACCTTAAGGAGGCAGAGCCTGGCTGTGGGGGAGGAAGGGGAGCCACTCCAAAAACCTCTTGGGCTCACATCTTAGCTTTAGAAAACCTGGGAACGGTCTTTCCGTAAGGTCAGACTGATCTTGAACCTGACACAAATTGGCCCTCGGAGCCAATCTGGAGAGTCCCTGGGGTCTGTGCCATTGTGCAATCTATTCTGTAAATAAAAAGTAGTCAAGAATTGGGAATGGAGGGGAAGACTATATCAGAGGGTACACCAGAAGGAATAAGCTAAGGCTGATTGGATTTTACCTAGGACACTGCAGGAATTAACGGCCACCCCGCAGCAGTCCTGGGGTGGTTTTCTTTGGGGATGGAATGTGTACAGAGGAAGGAAGTGTTATTTTACGCTTCCATTTGGAAGCAACAAAGGAGATCCAGATTATTAAAATAATCAGATTGTAAATGAATGAAGTTTGCACAGTCCTGGCTGGTGCTTCGGTACCCCACAGCTGGGGTATGTAAGGCGAGTTACCTATCTCTGCTGGTCTTTAAAACAAACTCAGGCACAGAGCTGGGGGAAGAGGACCAGAAGGTTGTGTCCGGGGGTTTTCTGTGGTTGTTTGCAATAGCCTATGATTGGCTCAGTCAATAATTTTTTAGTATACACGCTAAGGACTCTTGAAGCATTTTTTTCCCCAACAATAAATAACCCTTAGGCTAGAAATTGCTGGCGGGTGTCCCCCAACATTATCTATACATGTACTGAACGCTTTTCGAAAGGGCTTCCCTTCCAGGTTATAGACCATCACAGGCCTCTTTCAAGGGAGAGGGTAGAAATAAGCTAACAGGGAGCAATTAAAAAAAAAAAGAAAGAAAACTAAAAAGACTACCACCCACCGTGAAAAATGAAGCAATAATCTTTCTCTGTTTTAGACCCTTTAGGGGAGAATTCAGACCAGTTATAATTTAGAAGAACTATCCAAGAATCTGTGCTTTACCCAAGGGGTTTGAGGTGACTCAACCACTCTGAGTTGATTTCACATTTTGTTTTTAATTTTATGTCTTTCAATGTTCGCCTGTACTAATCTCTTTAGGAAGACCTAGTTGAAGGGAAAGTGTTCATGGGATGTAGACCTTCCTTCTGAGATTAAAAGGAATGTTCTTTGTTTCCCAACATGCCTGGGAGCTCAGCCACAGTCCCCACACTTTCTTCCCATTGTCACCCATCAGTCAGCCCCGTAAGGGATAAACACTCCAGTACAGCCAGGGGTCTCTAGGGGTAGGGAAGGGGAGAGTTTGGGAAGAGACAATGAGCCTTCCTTACACACCTACTGTCTGCCAGGCCCTCACAAGAACCCAGCGGGAGAGTAGTGGGTGAATATGACAGTGCTGAACTTGCGAGAAGTTCAAGAGCTCTCCCAGTCACCCAGTACCAACAAGAAAAACAACGATAGCAGTTCATGTGTATTATGTGCTAAACACTCAGCGTGCATCATCTTATTCTATTTCTAATCCCATCGTGCCCTTACGGAAATTGAAAGTTGGAGAGATGAAGTAATCTGCCTGCCTTCACAGAGCTGGCAAAATGGTGAGGGGTTTGACCCATTCATTCATAAATGTTTATTGAGCACCTGCTATGTGCCCGCACTGATGGGTGCGGGAAGAAGTGTGAGGGTAAAGGAGATAGATGAGTTCCTGGCCCTGTGGAGTGTTGGAGAACAGAGAAGGTCAGCAGTTAGTTAGACTCTTGGGTATTTTACACACACTGTGAGTGTTTCCTGTGTAGCAGGACAGAGTTGCAGACTGGGAGCTGCTGAAGACTCCCACCTCCTACCCAGGGGTCATGAATCGAGCTTGGAGCTCAGGAAATGCTGGAAGAGGAACAAAGGAAAAGACATCACCAGGGGGATGGAGGGATGGAGGGAAGCTAGGAGAGAGTGGGGGGACCGAAGAGAGGAAGCCTTTCTATGAGAGGTGTCAGAGGTGTTGAAGGCAGCAAGGGATGCGACAGGAAGTGTGGAGAAGGAAGCATCGGACTAAGCAACATGGCAGGCAGTGTCTTCTTGGCCCCCCTCTTCCCCAGTAGGATGGCCGCCCCACCCATCCAGGGCCATTTCTTTCCTTCATTCTCTTCCTTCCCACAATATCTTCGCTAGGAGGCCCAAGGGTGACTCCTGGCCCATCAGCATTAGCATCACCTGGGAATCTGTTACAAATGCAAACACATCCGGCAATTTGCAGTTTCGGTTTCCACGGTTGCAGTTACACGCGGTCCACTGTGGTTCCACAAGACTGCATGAAAAATCCCAGAAATAAACAATTCATAAGTTTTACATTGTCCACCATTCTCAGTAGTGTGATAAAATCTCTCGCTGTCCCACAGGGGACATGACTCATCCGTTTTTCCAGCACATCCAAACGGTATACGATTCCTACCCATTAGTCACTTAATAGCCAGCTGGGTTATCAGATTGACTGTCATTGTATCGCAATGCTTATGTTTAAGACACCCTTATTTTACTTAATAATGGCCCCAAAGAGGAAGAGTAGTGGTGCTGGGAATTCAGATACACCAAAGAGAATCTGTAAGTGCTTCCTTTAAGTGAAAAGGTAAAAGGTCAGCACTCTCCGTGGTTTCAGACCTCCACAGGAGGTCTCAGAACATTCCCTCTGCAGATGAGGGGAAGGCCGTGGTCCCTCTGGATTCGAATTGCAGAAGATGGGGCCCAGGAAACTTTTAACAAGCCCTCTAGAGCTGGAAAACGTTCAGGAGACACTGCTGTCCCCAGGACTGCCACCCAGATCTTTCTGAATCACAAATGTGAGTGTACCCTTCCCCTGCCGGCACCTTCTGTTAGGGTCCTGCTCCCCTTCAGAGGAAGTCCAAAGCATTTATACCGCCAAGGTCCCCCCCACACGCTCCGCTCCTGCTAACTCACAAGCCTTGTTTCTCCAGTGACATTGAAAACGCATTTACACAAGTAATTAACTAAATAAATGCCAGGACACACAGTAGTGGGGTGAGGAAGAACAAGTCTTATGGGATCATCTGCCAGCCTAAGGAAATCATGGAAGCTGTTCACCCCA